CCAGGCCTGTGAGTAAGCCTTCATGCCAGTTTCTGAAGCCATTCCCCATTCCATCAGGACCTGTAGCTCCCTGGCAGGCTTATCTGTGTCTCGTCAGGTGTGTGCTTGGCACCAGCCCCGTGCCCACCCTGTCACCTGCAAGTGAGGACCACTTCCTTGTCTGGACCCCACAGCTCATACCCCTGCAGCCTTCAGAGGATGGTCACATGTGTGTTGTGCGCTCCGCATTCCATTTGCTCTTGGCGGGGACCGTTTGTCTCTGCATAGTCATCCTGGCCAGCACAGACTGAAGCCAAGTGTTAAACTGTCCAAGCCCACAGTGTCCCAGGGGAGCTGTCACATGGCACCTGAGATCTCAGGGCCCAGAGAAGCCTTCTGAATTCCTGCCCAAACAGGGGAATGTGTGGCAAGGAGAGGTCATCGAGGGGCACCTGGGGGTGGGATATTTGCTCTCAGCTGAGCGAGCAGTGATCCTGCCCCACCCCCAGTCATGCCAGAGGCTGGGCCTTGGGGCGGTGCCAATCGTGGAAGGAAGGACCCTCCAGTTTGGGAGCAGGAGCCCAGACCTGGGCAGGTCCTGGGCATGAGCTGCCCTTTCTGTGAGCCTTCCACTATGTATGTGACCTTGCTGGAGACGTGGAAAGACTCCACACTATAAGGTCCCAAGTCAGGTTGAGCTGCAGGTACCTCATGTTGAGGTGCATGCCTGTGATCCCAGCACACTGGCAGGCTGAAACAGGAGGATGGCAAGTTTGAGCGCAGCCCAGACAACTTAACTGAGAACTTGTCTCAAAATTTTAAAAAGCTAAGATGTAGCTTAGTTCAAAGAACTTGGGTTCAAGCCCCAGTTCTCACCCTTCAAAGTCTTAAGAAACAAATCAGTGACTTAGAAAATAAAGAATGAATAGGTCAAATGTCATTTCTAGGACAAAGTTAATATGAGACTCCAGATAAGACTGTGACAAAAGGGATGAAATGCAAAGAAGTAAAATAAAAATACCAATACAAAAGGGGAAAAATAACCTTGATGTGGACATTAAAAGTACTTAAAAAGCTATTGTGAGCGGTGCTTAGAAGTTTGAAAACTGAGGGACAACGGGCAACTTCATGGAAAGGGATCAAAATGCAAAGACTGGCAAAGAACAAATGGAGAATTCCAGTTGGTCATCCATATCATAGGAACTGAAATGGCAAAGCCCTTTGAGACCCCAAAACAGCACACCCAAATAAACTGACAATATTAACACAAATCAGAGCTGGGCAGAGATCCCAGATACACAGCCAACAACACAAATCACTTTTCCATCACTGGTAACTGACCAGAAAAAAGCAAGCTAATGTTAGTTTAAGTGAAAGGGAATATACATATTATATGAATAGAAAGTAATGTCCACATATCCACATATATTTTGTATTTTCAGTCATGTGAATGAAATCTGCAGGTAGAATCTGGGGAGCACATGCCATCTCTGGGTGTCATGAGGGACCTGGCCTCCTTTGTTTCTTCTTCAGGCTCCTTTGCACATGAAGTCCACCTTCAGGGGAGCTTCATGGTCCCACAGGGCTGCACAACTCCACCATCACAGCTGCATGACTGACTAGAGGCAGAGGAAGCAAGGCGTGGCCACGGTGGGATGAAAGGCACACTATTCCTTTTGAAGAACTTTTCCAGAATCTGCACACAACATCACCACTTATAACCTGGCCCTGTGCCATGACAGCTGAGGACATCACTACCCTACAGAAAATCAGGGCTAGGTGACCATGGAAGGAAGCAAAGAAGGAACGTGGAAAAAACATCAATCCATGCCTCAGATGCCCCTCTCCAGGAGAGGAAACAGGTCCAGAGGGGCAGGGGGATTTACACACAGTCACAGAGCAGTAGCAGCAGGTTGGGATTCTCATCTGGCTGCTGGTCACCTTCCCTACCGTACCCTGTCCTCTCCCACTCTGTAACGTCAGCCCTCAAACCCTGCCCTCCTCACTCCCAGCCCAGGTAAGGCTGTTTCAGTCTCTCTGTCCCCACTCTACAGTATGATTACTGAGAGCTACCCTTCTGCCTCCCCAGCCACACTGCAGACACCTGTGGCATAGATGCGACAAATGTGGAGAAAGGTAAGCAGGAAGGGGGCTGAGAAACTGGCCAGAAGCAGCCATGCCCTGCCAACTGCAGGCATCTCTTCCTGGCTTCCCAATGGCAGCTCTTGACCTGGTGCACTTCACAAGTTCTACTCTCCAGTGGCATTTCCTACACTCTGCAGTGTCAAGTTGGGCACTGAAAGAGCACAAAGCCTGTGTTTTTTCTTCTTCTATGAGAATCCATGGCCCAGAGCGGCAAACATATGCAACCCAGATCCCACGGTGCCTTTAGGAAAGAATATTATGTCCCTCACTCTTAGTCCTCATGGACACACACAGAAAAGGGCACTTCCCAGCACCCCTTGCAGTTAACTTGGAATCATGTGACCAGTTCTGGCCAATGAAATGTGAGCAACAGTGATGCTATCACTCTTTACCTTGGAGGCCACTGGGCTGGAACAGAGACTCAGTTCTACATTTCAAACCAGTGTCCAGATGAGGCTGATTGCACAGTTGAGCAGGGAAGAGCTGTTGCTCTGAGATGGAGCAGGCCTGCTAACCTACACTGCACTGTTCACAAGCAATAAGCAGCCTAACGATAAACAACCATCATTTATTTATATTTTTGTGTGTGTGGCCAGCTCAGCCCACCAGGGGGCGGGCCTGGTTGGCATGTGGTGCTGGGGGATTGAACCATGGTCCCTGTGCTTTGCTTAGCTTAGCTTGTTCTAAGTAGGTGCTTTAGACCACTGAGCCATCTCACCAGCCCCTAACAACCATCATTTAGTCAACAAATATCAGCTGAGTTCCTTGTAGTACGTCAGTGCTCTGGGCATTTCACTTTTTTTTGTTTTTGTACAGGGTCTACAGGGTTTACAGGGCCCCACGACATAGATCGGACTTGTAGTGATCATTCTTGTTTTTCAGCCTCCCAAGTGCTGGGATTACAGGCGTGCATCATCACACGCCCAGTCTCAATCACTGTCTCAGTGTGCCCTGGGGGCAGGGTCAGCATGGCAGGCTGGGGATCAAACCCTCAGCCCTGTGTCTGCCTAAGCAGGCACTTTAATCTGCTGAGCTATCTGGCCAGCCCACATTTCACTTTAAGGAGATGCCTACTTTTGAGGTTGTACAGGTGCACAGTAGGCACCTGAATTTGATAGCCCCCTTACAATGTGTACTTGAGACACAATTTTGCCTCTTCCTGGTCCCCAGGCCTTAAATTGATTGGCAAACTAGCAATTGAAGCCAGGACCTTTTGACTTGTGAATCTAGGCTGCCATTTGGTTAAGCAAAGGGCGGCCATGTTCATTTGGGAGCCTTGTTTTGGAGGGAAGAAGGGTGGCTACAGTGGTTCTTTGGATTTTCACATCCCTCTGGTACCCACCTGGGCCCTGAAGAGACCTAACTCTGCTAACCAACCAGCAGAGAGGCTTCCTGCCACAGCCTCACCATGTTGGTCTGTGTGTGGAAGGAGGAACACTGGCACTTTCCGTGCACTGGGTAAGGCCTGCAAGCTCCTCCATTTGGCCAGGCCTCAGCCTTCACTGCCCACACCCTGCCCACAGTGCTTCCATGCTCAGTATTAGAGAGGAAAAGGTCCTGGGCAAACCATGCTCTGACTCAGAGGCTCACTTCTGGCCGCCTCTTGCTCCTTGCTGCCCTGATGCTGCTGCTGCTGCTGCTGCTGCTGCTGTCCACCACAGCCCTCCCCCACCTCCCACCCCTCCTTCTGGCCTCGGAGAAAGACACAGCCTAGCTCTACACCTTGGGGAAATCCAGCGCCTGCCACAGAACTCAGAACAGGGGAGACCTGGTGAGGGGTGGATTGGAAGGGGCTCGTGGACCCTTCTGAAGTGCAGCTTGCTCTGGGTGGCGATTATGTGGTTATCTGGATGTCATCGTGTCACACATATGTGCAGAGTGGTGGAGCTGTGCAAGTAATGCTAGGCTTTGTAAGCACTGTCCTGTGTGTGTGATCTCTCCATGTGACAAGGTATCACAGAGAACTCTAAAACAAGTAACAGAATCAAACTTAGGTTTGGCGTCTAATGGGCCTGCACTGAAAGTCTCACTGTTTTCTAACTGTGTGGTCTTAGAAAAGTTTCTTAACCCCTCTGAACTTCACTTTTTTTTTTTTTTTTAAACTAAGGTATAGATTTTAATGATTAAAATACCGTTTTGCTTTTTTTTTTTTTTTTTTTTTTTTTTTTGGTGATATTGGGGATTAAATGTGTTGGTCTACCACTGAGCAACATCTTTATCCCTTTTTAATTTTAAAATTTTGAGACAGTCTCGTTAAATCCTTCCCACCAACTGCTCATCCACTCTGGAACCTCCTTTTGTCCAGCTCTGTCACTTTGCAGTTTACAGTCCCCTCTGCCTAGAACCTTCTACCCTCCTAACCTACTCTCTTGTCAGTTCTCTGAAGAGGCATGTCCTTCAGAAAGCTGCCCCTCCCTTTCTGTCTGAACAAGGGATCCTCCTTGGTATTCCGAGAAATTCCTCCAGTTTTGCCACTTTTGTCCCTTCCTCTTGGTTCTGTCCCTAGGTTAGTGCTGTGAACCCAGTCCCTGCAAAGATCTCAGACTTGGCTGAACTGAAGAAAATGGATTTTGTCCAACTAGGTTATGGGCAGTGCCCAGCAAGCATGGGCACACAGTAGGTCCAGCCTGCTTGGGCTTGCCCACTGCAGGCCAACTTCCAGCGGGAAAGCAGGCTAGGGAGGCCCCTGTTGCCAACAGCAGACCAGCTGCCCAGGAAAGTTCTGCTCTGGGTCACACCCACCCCTGGGTGGCTGCCAATCTCCCTGCCAGAAACCACAGGCCGAGGCTGCCCAGAGTCCCAGCCAGAGGGCTTCGGAGACCTCGAGTCAGATCTGCGAGACTGGGTGTTTGGCGGACACTTCCGGTATCCACAGCCCCCGGGGTGGGGCGGGGGCGGGCTAGCTAGGGCTACAGCAGCTCTGCCAGCCTTGTGAGCTGAAGCCCTCTTGGGCTGGGAGAAGCAGAGGCTTTGCCAGCCTGCTGCAGGCTCTTGCTACTGACATTGGCTCTGGCTTTATAGACACGCACACACGCGCAGGCCGCACACGCGCGCACACACACGCACACACTCACTGGCAGGCACCCCCATGGTGGCTTCCACAGTCTCACCCTCAGGTAAACGGGTCATCATTGGGTCATGATGGGGAGAGGACGAGGAATGGAGAGGCCAGTGTATATGTGCACATGTGTGGGTGAATGTGAGTGTGGGTGCGTGTGCGTGCCCTGGCAGACCTCACAGCTGCTGGAACATAGACTCACAGGTCCTGCTTCCCAGGCTCCAAGCTGGCTCTGTGGGGACACCAGGACATGAGAGGCCCACCGCAGCCCCGCCTCCTGGTCTTCTCCCTCCTCTGCATGCTCTCCAAGGTAAGGGGCCCTGGGCCCTGGCTGTTCCTCTGCTTTCTTTGCTGGGGTGGGAGTGGGGCGGGGAGTCAGGCGGAGGAGCCCCCAGCAGAGGTCCTGCTGGCCCAGAGCAGGACCGGGTGCAGGCCCTGGGCCCTTGCTTGCTTCCCTCCCTGGCTCCACACAGCGGCCAGCTCTGCTGTGTGGCCTCAGGCAGGACCCCTTTCTTTTCTGAGCCCAGCTTCTGCCTCAGTTGCGGGGACATGATGTTCCCGAGGCCTCTGAGGCAGCCATGCATGGTGCTTCCTGTATATTCAGCACAGCCCGGAACACAGTGCATGTTCAAAAGAAGAGCTGAATGAGCCATCTCAGACCCGACCAGCCAGGCAGGGGCATAAGCAAGGAGACCAAAATGTGATGCACTCAATCTGCCTCCGAGCCAGGTCCAGAGCAAGGGCTAATTTCTAAGTGATCAGGCTGTGAGGGCAGTGGCCCTGGCTGAGGGGAGACAGGACACACCTCTGTACAGGAATGATCTTCTCTTCCAGAGCTGAAGGGGACATTTCTCAAAGAGCTTGTAAGACATCTCCTTTAACTAACATGCACAATCTCAAAAAGCATCATTAGCCCCAGCTTCAGTCAAACAAACGAAGCTCAGAGAGGGCAAGAAACTTGCCCAGATCCACACAGCAAAGAAGATTCAGGGCACTACAGGAGAGACACAGTGGAGCCCAGGAAAGATACGGATGTGTGTTGGGATGCTCCCATATGACCTCTCCACCCCAGCTTGATGCAAGATCACAGTGCCCAGCTATCTCATCCTCTTAGTGAATGCTGGGTTTTCAGAGCTGGGGGTTGACCCCCCTACAACCCAAGATGTTGCCACATTTCGCAGGCAGGCGTTTCTCCCTCTGGGCCCCCTGTGGTCTTGCTGAGGAAGGCTGAGGACTCTTGTTGCTGCATTCAAGGCCTGCTCCTTGGCCCCAGAGGGTGGGAAGGTGCTGCAGCAGGACACCTGGGGTTCAGAGTTATGAAAGGCCAAGGCTTAGGCACATGGCTGGAGGACCCGTGGATCTGTTCTTCCTGGAGCTGGGAAGCCAATGAGCATCCTACACAGAAGCTCAGGGCCTTGGTGGTGGCAAACATAGGAAACCACAACCATCTTCAGAGAAAATTCCGAGGCCTCCAGGTGGGCTGTGGGCTCCTGGGATGGAGGCAGTAGACAGGAGCAGGAGACAGAGACACCTAGGAACACCTTGGTCTCCTGTGACCAAGAACTGGCTGTGGCCTCACTTAACCCCCGTCAAAGTGGTCTTCACCACTTGCCAGATGGTAGACTGAGCCCACCCCATTCACACCCCAAAGCAGCTAGGCCACTGAGTCACAGAGCAGGGCGGTCACTACACCTAACTCTTGCCCAGAAGGGTCTACACTAAGAATCTCCATCACAATCTTGGCCCTAGTGGTCACATCAAGGCTCTGGGGAGGCTACAGCACGATAGAATAACTTCAATTGTGGAGACAGAGTGGTTGGGAGGCTGTGGAGGTAGAGGGAGGCCAGAAAGGAATATCCTTCCATGTCTACACCAAGATACTGTCCCTGCCTTATCGCTGTCCATTTAAACACATGGGTAAATTGAGGCAGCTGCTAAGCTCACCTTGGAGCCCCTAGGTGACAAGAGGTGAGCATATGAATTATGAACTCAAGCCTTGGATCTCATGAACCTGGAATCCGGTCCTCACCCACCCCTTTCTGGCTGCTGACTACACATCTTTGGCCTTCTGTTTCCTCATCTTTGAAACAGACACGCTGATGGCCTGCATGTGGGGTGTTCGCTCACACCTGCATGAAAGCAGTCAGGCACAGCCTGCATGCAGCAAGCCATTGTTTGCTACGGTCACTATGACTACTATGTCATTCATAGGTTCTCCTGGGCATCAGGACCTGCAGAATCCAAAAGCAACCAGGTAGCCAAGCTCTCAGAAGGGCCTAGATGGTCAGCGGGCCTGTTTCCTGGTACCCCAGTTTTCAAGCAGAAGGGACCTGAGAGCCAGTTCTGATTAGAGACCTTAGTACCCATGACCTAGGCAGCTGGAGCCTCCACTTTGGAAGGAAACATGGAGTCTAGCCTGTTGCTTCCGGGTGGGTGAAGTCTGCAGCACCCCTGGGTTTATTAAAATGAAACTTAGGTTATAAAGAAGGGCTCTGGGAGCTGCACCCCTAAGAAGCTTCCCAGGATGCTGTGCTGCAGTCCAGAGCACACCTGGAGGGGGAAGGAGGGCTGAGGTTCGGCAGAGCGCTGTCTTTGGGAGCAACAGCAGCCTTCCCTGGGGCTCCCAGGGGAGGCTGGTCAGCCAGCCAGGGCGACCCCTGGTGGCCAGAGTGGGAGCTGCAGAAAACCGAAAGGTTGGCAGGACAAAGGTGCTGGGGTTGGACAAGGTGGGGGAGTGTCATAAACAGGTCATTACCTGCTTTGGGCCACACAGGAGCAATAAGGTCATTCATTCTTCTTCCCAAGCCAGAAGTCTTCTCTTCTGTAGATAAATCTTTCTAGTCCCCCAACGATCCTGCTTAGTTGCCCACAAGTCTGTGGGCAACATCTTTGAGTTATGCTGACCAGTTGGTTCCCACCTTCAAATGGATTTACTGGGAGCCCTTGACATCTGACTTAAAGTTTGGGTGTTTTTCATTTTTTTGTGGGGAAGGGCAGTTGGGTCTCTCAGAAGAAACCTTGATGGAAAAGTCCAGCCGCATTTGAGGTCCCTGGGTCCTCATCAGGGAAGTGCGGTGCGGACCCACTCCCAGCTCTACAGCTATCCCTCTGGCTGGCAGCAATTGCCTTCCACCTCTGGAGTTTCCCCATCTGTACATGGCAGTGGGGGGAGGGGAGTTACATGGTGGCAAAGGGGCTGAAATCCTAGCTGTGTTTTAGAAACTACCAGAAAGCTTGTTTAAAATACAGAGTCCAATCAGACATAGTGGTGCATGCTTGTAATTCCAGCAACTCGGAAGGCTGTGGCAGGGTCACAGATTCAGGGCCAACCTGGGCAAATGTCTCCAGATAAAAAGATAAAGATGGGCTGGGCTGGTAGGTCAGTGGTAGAGTACTTGCTTAACATGCGTCAGGCCATGGGTTCAATCCCAGCACCACAAAACCAAAGCAAGACAACAAAAACCTCTTGAACTTCTGCTTTGGTGAGTTCCAGTGGAACTTGGGATTCTGGTTGTTCCCTACATCTTCTGGCTGGTTTTCTGTGCTTTTAGGGTCGAAAAACACATTTGGATTCTTCCAAAGAGCAGAGCTCAGTGCCCTGAGCTGCCAGGCCATGTGCTAAGGATCTGATGTTCTTCCATATATGAGTTCTGTGAGACCCTCTGATTGGTTTCCTGTCCCAGACAAGGAGACCTAGGCTCAGCCAGCCGAGGTGGCTTGCTTGTCCTAGGCCACTTAGCAACTAAGGGGCACAGCCAGGACAGAAACTCTGGTGCCGAGTACTGCTTATGGTCACACTGCCACCCTGCTTCTTAGGGAACTCTGTGGGCCTGCCAGGGCTCAAAGCCAGATCCGTGTGGCCAGATCTGTGTTACTCCAAGGCCAAGATGTGAATCCCACACTGCCCAGCCTGGCAGAGTTGGCAGGGCTTCACTGCCTACCTTGAAAGCCCTCAGCTGAGTGAGGTTTCTGTCTCTGCAGGTGTGTGCCCAGCTGTGCCCGACCCCATGCGCCTGCCCCTGGCCACCACCGCGATGCCCTCCGGGAGCACCTCTGGTGCTGGATGGTTGTGGCTGCTGCCAGGTCTGTGCACGGCGGCTGGGGGAGCCCTGTGACCACCTCCACGTCTGTGATGCCAGCCAGGGCCTGGCCTGCCAGCTCGGAGCTGGCCCTGGTGGCCAGAGGGCCACATGTCTCTGTAAGCAGGTTTGCGGGACTCCAGGAGGGTGTGTGTATGCAGGCCTGGGAGGTCACAGTTGTGGGTCCTGAGCCACAGAGCAGCTTTTGATTCCTTCCCTTGGCCCCCACCTCCATTTAGCTGAGTCTGGGGGTCCATGGGTCCCTAAGCCCACTGCCTGCCCACTCCTCTTGGCCTTTGCTTGGACCACGAGGCCTCATCTGAACAACACTCTCTGTCCTTTCTTGTCCTGGACACAGTCCACTCTCAAAGACAAGTCTAAATATCCTCTCCCCTAAGAAACTCTCCCAGATCAGGAGAGATAGCTCAACAGTCTAAGGCCCTGCCTGGCAAGTGCAAGGTCCTGAGTTCGATCCCTGATACCACGTGCCATGCTGGCCCTGCCCTGGGCATGCTAAGCCCACCACTGAGACTGGGTATGGTAGCACATGCCTATAAACCCAGTGCTGTGGAGGCTGAAAATTGGAGGATCACTATGAGTCCAAGCTGGGTATCGAGACCCTGTGCCAAATACATAAAATTTTAAAAAAGAAAAGAAAAATTCTCCCAGACTTTTCAACCCAGAAAACATCATCACCTTCAATGACCCTTGTCATAATGGGGAAAATAAAAAGATAGCCCCTTCTTCAGAGTACAGTATGTGTCAGACATGGAAAAGTGCTTACTGCACAAGTGACATAATCCTCCTACTTATCCTGTGACACTAAGTACTGCTAGACCCATTTTACCAATGAGGAAACTGAGGCTCAGCGGTATTAGCTGGCATGCTGCATGCCCCATAGCTTGGCACCTTTTCAAGTAAAGTCCAGCAAATTCTATTCTCCTGGACTAGGCACCTTGAACTGTGGCTTGAGTGCTGAGTGTGCTATTTCCCAGCGACCTTGGACATGTGACATTCCACTCCTCGCTTCGTAGGCCTTGCCTTCCTCCGACACTCTAGGGCAGGGCTTTGCAACCGTGCTCTAGCGACACTCTTGGCTAGATATTTCTTGTTTTCAGGGAACTGTGCTGGGCACTGTAGGAATTTAGCGCCACCCCTGAACTCCACCTGCTTGATGCCAGGAGCAGCCCTCCCACCCTGCCTGAGTCGTGACAGTCTGTCTTATGACACTGCCAAGAGTCCCCAGGGTATCATGACCCCAATAAAAAACCACTGCTTCAGAGAAATAGAAAGAGGTGAGAGTTTTTCCAAATAATAAGCTTTGTAGAACAATTTGCCTCTTTATTCTAAGTGCATGTCATACTTTTATAAAAATAAGAGAGAAAGTGGGGGAGAGGCTCATGAATCATTACAATGAGTACACATATAGGAAAAGTCTTGTTAAAAATAAAGAACTGGGGCTGGGGAGATAGCTCAGAGGTTTAAGTACCTACCTGGCAAGCACAAGGACCTGAGTTCAATCCCCAATACTGCATGCCATGCTGGCCCCAAAACAAATCCCAGCGCTGGGGAGGCTGAGACAGGAGGGTCACTATGAGCCCAAGCTGCATAGTGAGACCCTGTACCAAATAAATTTAAAAATAAAAATAAATAAAACTTAGGGGTACAGCACCTGCCTAGCAAGCATGAAGCCCTGAGTTTGATCCATGGTACCAAAAAAGAAAGGAAAAAAAAAGATCAAAACACTCCCCAACAAAACCTATAGATGGAAAGTTATAGTAAATCTTTGCAATGCTCTGTTCTGTAGGAGACAGGCAGGATCAGTTAGACAAACTTGCAGGTGACTGCTAGTGAAGACGTGCCTGAAGAGAAATGGACACAAATAACACTTCTGTAGCTGTTCTTTGGACCATGGCCCTGTGATTCCTATGGTAGAGTTTTGTTGTTTGTTTATTTGTTTTTTATTGAAACTCTTACCAAGTGCTAGGTATGGAAGCCTTCACAAATATCAACTAATTTAACCTCACAACTGTATAAGGTAGATACATAGACCACTCCCCATTTTATAAAGAAAATAAAGAGACCCAGAGAAGTTGATCAACCCAACCAAGTGTCCTGATGGCCATCCAGGATTTGAACTCAGGAATCAGACTCTGTGGCCTCGGGCTTTGTCACTCTGCAGCCCGATGTTCAGAACACAGTTAGAACATAGCAGATATGACTGTCAGGAATTGCATGAAGGAAATGTTCTCATTGCCTCTTGATTCAGACAGCAGACACCGGCAGGCCAGGCTTGACTTGGTCTCTGGGCCTCCCTCTGTGTCCCAGCAGAGTGTGGCAGTTATGAGGCATTTGTATAGATTTGGTGACTGGAAACCAACATAGAGGCTGGGAGCTGGTGGCTTCCACGAGTGACTTAGGGTGCTATGGGCACAACTTCATATTATCCTCAACCTCAGGGTATGTCCTATTTTTATCCCTGTTCTGCTGATGAGAGTATAGGGTCTCAGAGAGGTGAGGTCCCTGCCTAGGTCACAGAGTTTGCAAGTGACTGGAGGTTGAAAAGACAAAACCCAAACAAAAAGGACTTGCCCAAACCCCATGGTTCCTGGCCCTGAAACAGACTCTTTGCCTGAAGAGGGGAAGGGCACAGGGACTCCCAGAAAGCAAGGCTGTTACCTGAGCCTCGGGGAGGCTGTGGGAACTCAGTGGAAGGCATTGCGAGGGTTTGGGCGGCCACAGGTGGTGTGATTGGGCAGCAGAACTCCAAGAGAGTAAGGTTTAGAGTGGCCTCGTGATCTTGGGAAGCACACACAGGTACACATAGATCATGAGGGAGGGGTACCGAGGGATCATTGGACCCCCAGCCCCAACCAGGTCTGAGCTGATGAGCCAGGAGAGATGCCAAGAAATGTTCCTAAAATTACCTTTCTCTGGCTGATTTTCCTAAACAAGCCTGTGTTTACCAGGATGTTCCAGAGACCTGGAAGCCTCGGGACTGTGGCAGCAGGACTTAGGCCAGGGTGCGGGCTAAGAAGCAGCTGCCTCTGTGGTTTCCAGGGGACCAAACAACCATGTGGTCCAGGCCAAAGGGGCAAGGATTTGAGCCAGAGAGCTGTGGCCTGGTGGGGTCAGGAGAGGCATAGGGCACTGATCCTGTTTTCCCGGGAAGGACAAACAGGGCCCTACCACCTTTCATTGAGCGTTAGCTGTGCATCAGGCTTTGGGCAAAATGCTTTAAATACACTTTCTCGTTCATCCTCCAGTAGGCAGCAAGGCTCAGAGAGGTGAAGTCTCTCAGCCCCGGCTCCCACAACAGCCAGCTTTTGGCAGCTAGAGCTGTGTCAAAGCCCTCCTGTGTACATGGGCCTACTTGAGGTCTTCCTCGAAAGGCCCAGGAGGACCTTGCCAATGAATCCTTGCTCGGTTGTCACAGGGTCTCCAGGAAGCCTCTGAGCCCTCCCCAGCCCATTACCCGGAGCACCTCGCAGGCCACAGCTCTCCAGGGATCTTCACACCTTCTCACTTAGACTCGGCCACTTTTGTGTGTCTCCCACTGGCCCACGACCACCTTGAGTCTCTCGAGACAAAACTGCAGCTTATTTCTATCTAAGAGCACAGTGGCTGGCACACACGTGGGGTCCAGTAAATAAATCTGAAATTATAAGGAGGTGGAACTATTTTATTAGAGCTTGCTCTGCGTGGAGCAGGGTGGCAGGCGTTCACCCTGAGGTTCTGTGTGTCCCAGCCTGGTCCCAGCCAGTTCAGAGGATGGCAGGAGGGACACTTGGTTCCAGGTCACGTCCAGGGCAAGAAGTGGCGATAAGGCGCAGAACTGGGGGACAGCAGTCAGAGTGTTTCCTGAGCACAGGGCTGGGATGTGACCTGTGATGTGGCCTCAAGGTGCTGATTACTGTTTGCAGCACTGCTATAGTGCAGGCCTTTCAGAGAAGTTGGGTAACTTACCTAAAGCACACAGCCAGCAAGTGAAGCCGGACCCCAGAACAACAGACAGCGTAGGGCACAGCAGGAGGGCAACAAGGTTGTGGCGCAAAGTCCTAGTGTGTGAATAAGAGTCATCCAGCATTCATCTGTAGTGACACCACTGATGATGGCGGAGGGACTAGGATCTACGTTGGTCTCTTTTTGGTTGCATTCATAAACTGTGTCAATTCACTGCGTCTGGACCCCCTTGTGAAATAAGTACCGTTATATCCCACTTTGCAAGGAGGGTTCATGGCCAGGAAAGGGTAGAGGTGGGACCCAAGCCAGGCCAGTCTTCGGGCTCCCCATCCCCCACCTCGTGCAGGGACTTGGGTGACTCTCCTTTCTGCTGCAAGCCGGACCTGCTCGCAGGGTGCAGGGAGGGCTCAGACATTGTGGGCGCCGCAGTGACTCTGCTCTGAAGCTCCCCGCAGGCCTGGTCATGAGCCTCCGTCTCTGCTTTCTCCGCAGTCGGCGAGGACGACAGCGGCTGCGAGCTGAACGGCCGCCGGTACCGCGACGGGGAGACCTTCCAGCCGCACTGCCGGGTCCGCTGCCGCTGCGAGGACGGCGGCCTCACCTGTCTGCCGCTGTGCAGCGAGGACGTCCGGCTGCCCAGCCCCGACTGCCCCCGGCCTCGCAGGGTACAGCTGCCGGGCAGGTGCTGCCCCGAGTGGGTGTGCGACCAGGGCCCGGAGCTGCGCGTCCCGGGTGAGTGTGGTGGCTGCTGGGCAGAGCCGCCTGGGTCCCCAGGGTCGACCAAGGTCACAGGGCTTCTTAAGCACCGGATTTGGTCCCTTCGCAAGCTGGGAGAGGGCGGTGGCTGAGCAGAAATGGGGGAAGAGAACTGGGAGTCGGCAGGCCTCTTTAGAACCCGCCTTTTCAGCACGGAACTATAAATAACAGAGAATTAAAAATAAAAGTCCGGGACTGGAAAGATGGCTCAGTAGAATAAGTGGCCTGAGTTCAATGCCCGGTTCCACCAAAATAAATAAATAAATAAATAAATAAATAAAAGTCGGTCAACATAGCAAGCCCCTGTCTCAAATAAAGGGTGGGCCAAGTGCAGTGGCCCATGCCTGGAATCCCAACACTTTAGGAGACTAAAACAGGAGGATTACAAGTTCAAACCTGACCTGGACAACTTAGTGACTGAACAAGAGCCTATCTCTGAATTTTTTTTTTTTCTTAAAAAAGGAAAAAAATGTTAAAGGGGGTGGGGATGTAGCTCAGTTCAAAGGCCTTGGGGTTCGATCTCCAGTACAATAAGTTATAAAAATAAAATAGAAAGGACTGGGCTTGTAGCTCAGTAGTAGAATCTGGGTTAGCAAGCATGAGGCCCTGCACAGGAAGAAAGGAAGGAAAATAAAGGAGGGGGAAGAGAGAGAGAGAGAGAGAGAGAGAGAGAGAGAGAGAGAGAGAGAGAGAGAGAGAGAGAGAGAGAGAGAGAGAGAGAGAGAGAGAGAAACAGAGACAGAGAGACAGAGAGAGAGACAGAGAGAGAGACAGAGAGAGAGAGAGAGAGAGGAGAGGGTGAGAGTGAGAGATGAAGAAGAAAGAGGAATTCAAAACTGAACCAGGTAGAGGGGTTATCTCTAAAATATGCACCTTGGGGAGGGCAGAAATGGGAAAGGAACAGTTGCAGCCTACTACAATGCTTTAGAGATTTTGTTACTGCTTTTTAAAAATTATTATTATTATTGAGTTGGGATATATAGCTTAGTGGCCAAGTGTTTCTCTAGCATGCTTGGAACTCTGTGTTCCACCTCTAGCCAGAGAGAGAGAGAGAGAGAGAGAGAGAGAGAGAGAGAGGCAGAAGCAGAGGCAGAGAGAGCCAGCCAGCAGTACATCCAGTTTGATCTCCATCATCTGTGCATGTTTATATCTATAGGTTCTACATCCACAAATTCAGTCAACTGTGGACTAAAAATATTATTATAAAAACCGGGTCTGTGTGGAGCACACAGACTTTTCTCTTGTCATTATTCTCTAAACAGCACAATGTAACAACTATTTACAATGCATTAGATATTGTAAGTAACCTTGAGGTGATCTAAAGTCTATGGCAGGACATGTGTGGGTTATAAACAAATAGCTAACCATTTTGTACAAGAAACTTGAGTATATATCCGTGACAAGTCCTGGACGAGACCCCTCAGGATACCAAAGGACAGTAGCACATGGTACATACATGGGTCAGGTACTGTGTACAGGAGCAGGGCTTCTTGACCTCAGCACTGACATTTGGGCAGAGTAATTACGTGTGCCTGTGACAACCAACAGTGTCCAGGATGAGCTAGTAGGCCACCACTGGGCCACCACTATCGCTAGTGGGACACCAACAGTGTCTGCAGACATTGCCAAATGTTATGTAGGAGCAGCACAGTCACCTCTGGTTGTAAACTGTTGGTTCTCAAGACCAGAATGGTGCCAACATATAACAGAAAGAGGCCAATGAGGAGGAAAAACTACCCTGTGGTGACCCACTGTCCCGCTCCAGGCACAGAATCTTGACATCTGTGGCATCTTTGTCACCAGATCACAGCCACATCTCATGTAGGTGGTCACTCCTGTCTGTAACACATCATTTATTAGAAGAGCTTGGGGGGGGGGCAGACACAAGGAAGCTCATCATTTAATGGTAAATCACACCAGCTGCCCAATAACCAATATCCGTAGGGTGCTTGCAAGTCCCAGGCACTGTGCCAAACACTTCATAACCATTGTTTTACTCAGTCTCAGTAATTTGCTGCTGGGAAATTTATTCAAGAAGAAACAGATCCAGAGAGGTTGAATGGCTTGACTAGGACCACTGTGACTACCCCAGGTACTGATTTGGCTCCCATGCCTTGCTCTCATAGGCTGACCCTACTTCCTTTCTCCCTAGGACACCAGTTTCCTGGCGTTGTTGCTCCCCCTGCCCCTGGTGTTCCCTGCCCAGAATGGAGCACAGCCTGGGGTCCCTGCTCGACCACCTGTGGGCTGGGCATGGCCACCCGGGTGTCCAACCAGAACCAGCTCTGCCGACTGGAGACTCAGCACCGCCTATGCCTGCCCAGACCCTGCCCTCCTGCCAGAGGTCGCAGCCCATGGAACAGTGCCTTCTAGAGCCAGCTGGGAATAGAGCCATGGTGCCCACTAGCCCTAGCAGGTGGCCCTGTGCCCAGGTCCCAAGCTGACACAGATGGCCCCGGACATGCTTGCCTGTAACTTGGGTCCATCATCCAGAGCCAGGAGGGTAAGAATGTGCCAAAGCTGCCTGGTCCCACTGGACCCTGTACTACAGTAGGGTGCATGACTGGACCCCTTCTTCTAACTCAGACCCTGGGAGACTAGCCAACGCTTTCAAGTTCTCCATTCCATTCCTGGTCTCCATTCCACAGCCTCATCAAACATCACACGGTGAGCTTTCTCCCCACCTTCCCTGGGCAGGAGATGGGACAAGCATCCCTTTCCTAGTCAGGCTGCAGCAGGGATGAGATTGGCCATTTGGCTGAAGTGTGGCGAAGAGGGCGCAGGTAGATACTCTAAGGTTTCTTTTCCCCTAACCCTAAACCCAACCCTAATCTTTCCCTGGAGTTCTGTAGACTCAGTACAAGGCTATGTGTAAACCTGTGGGTGGCTTTATGCTGTCCAAGAAAACCCTGTGCATCCAGAAAGAATGGAGTGGCTGAATTCTTTAGGAACATCATGAGGTGACATTATATTGTTTTTAAAAATGTTACAAAACTAAATGAAATCTACTCAGTATTTGGAAGAACAAACCTTTGTGAGCACCCGTGATGTGTGGGCACTTTAGCTCCTGGGCATGGAGAGAAGCCGAGAGAAGGAAGACACCCCCCGCCCGCCCCAGGGACCTGGGCAGCCTGGAATAAACCACAGCCACGTGTGAGATTCTGTCTGGCATGTCGTGTTTTATTGTTTAAAAACCCAACTAAATATTTACCTCCTCCTTCACAGTCAACCCATGTTTGCTTAAAAATAGAAGCTGCGTTTGTACCAGGATCCATCCAGGAAATTAGAAACCACTTTTCATCGGCTTGCCTAGATTCTTAGCCGCGTGTAGGAGGGAATCAGACCTGACCAGCATCACTCTTCTCGGGGCCCTCTAAAGAAGAGGGAGCCCACAGAGCTTCCAACGTGCTACCAACCAGCTGACGGTTATTGCTCGATTTGTACTGAGATTATGAATTGGCAACGTGTCGCTCTTTTAGTGTTAACAGCCCTGAGCTCTGAGTGCTGTTGGCTCTGAGCTCTTTTCATGGTTAGCAGCCCTCCCTGCCAGTTGGATCAAGAGATGGAGCGGTGTGAGAAAGGAGGAGGGAAGGAAAAAAAGAATTAAGACCTGTTGTGTACGTGTATCAACTCCACACAACAACGTAAACATTGTGTACTGCAAACATACTAATAAAAAACAAAATAAAACACCCATCTGGAGAACCCTGCAAGACCCTGCCTCAAAAAATAGTGCAAAAAAAAAAAAAAAATACAAAACAAAACAACAGAATGCTTAGGCTGACGTAGGGATTGGAGGTTTGATCCCCTGGGGTGCTGTGCGGCCCCGCCCCCCCCCAGGTGTGCTAAGACAGTGGCTGAGACTGGGCGCGGTGGCGCAGGCCTGTAATCTCAGCTCTCGGGAGGCTGAAAAACAAGGACTGTCTGCTACGAGCCCGATCTGCGTAGTGAGAACCTGTAGACCCTGTACTAAATACATTAAAAACAAACAAACAAACAAACAAACAAACAAAACAGAACAGAACAGAGGAGAAAGCAGCGAGCGCACAGAGCCAGGGCCCTCGCGGGCCTGCCAGGGCTGCGCTCAAGCGGCCGGTGCTCAGAGCGGCGGTTCCCAGTGTCAAGGCCTCGCGAGCGGCGACTGTGTGCTTGGCGCGCTCTGCGCGGTAGTGCACGGGACAGGAGGTGGCTGTGATGATGCCGATTCTGCAGAGCAGAAACTGAGGCTTGAGTGGTGGAATATCCCTCGCTGTCTAGTGCCGGAAGGAGTCAGAGCCGACAGGATCCAGAGTCTGCTCAGCCTTGCTTCTTTCCTTCTCCATGCGTAGCTTCCTCCTTCCCTTCCACCTTGTCTTCCTCCTCCTCCTTCCCTGGCCTTTCTTATGAGAAACGTACAGAGCCCGAGTGTCCAGCTTGTGCCGTGACCTCATCCGGAGCACGCCATGCAGTCAGCAGGGGGCTCAGCGCTGGGATGCTCGGCGCCCCACGCCCCCCATCCCCGGGCCCGGGAGCTCCTCTCTACCTTCACCAGGGTAGTCCCTGCTCTGACTTCCAGCAGCACACCCTGCCGAGTAACGAAATCATGCAGCGTATTTTTTCTGTGCTTTGTGTCTTCTAAATTTTTCACTATGTTTGTGAGTTTCATTGTTGAAGTAGCCATAGTTCATTCTCTCCCGTCCCTGAGTAATGTCCCCTTATGTGAATGTGCCTCAGCGTACTTATTCCTTCTACTCATGATGGGCCTGTGAGTAGCTTCCAGTTTAGAACTATTACACATAGAGAACTGAGAACTGAGAACTGTAGTTTGCGTCTTCTGCTGGATATTTTCAAACACTCTGATTGGACATTTATCCAGGAGAGCACTTACTGAGTTGGCTCCTATCTTTTCTCTATTGGCTCAGATCCATCCCCCCCACACACATAGGTAAGATAGTGGTATCTGCACATAATAGATGCTCAATAAATACCTCCTCCATAAATAATAAAAATAAGAGCAGAACAGAGAAACTTTTAAGTTCCTCCGAAAGATAAAAGTAAAATTAATGTATCGCCCAGCTATCCCACTTATGGGAATAAATCCTTAGGCTTTGAAATCAGCATGTTAAAGATGTGCCTCCACTTCTGCACTATTTTAGTTGTGCTATTCACATTAGCCAAATTATGTAACCAACAACACCATGCTACATCCACAGATGACTGGGCAGAGAAAAGGTGGGCTATACAATGGAACACGGCGCAGCCTTTTAAAAGAAGGAAATTCTGTCATCTGTGATGATGGGGATGATCCCGGAGTGCATCATACCGAGTCAAATGAGCCACACACACACAGACACACACACACACACACACACACACACACACACACACACACACAAATAGCATCACATAGTCTCAGTGATGCGCAGTCTCACTTCTACGCCAAATGGCTCGCACCAGAGCCTGAGGATTGGGGGAACAGGGAATGCTGGCAGAAGGGTACAAAGCTTCAGTTCGATGGAAGTGTTTTTTGAGATTTATTGTACAGCATGGTGACTATAGTTCGTAATGTATATCTCAAAATTACCAGGAAAGCAAATATGAAATGTTCTCACCACAAAAATAAATATCTGGGGGCTGGTGAGATGGCTCAGTGGTCTAAAGCACCTACTTAGAACAAGCTTAGCAAAGCACAGGGACCGCGGTTCAACCCCCAGCACCACATGCCAGCCAGCCCCGCCCCCTGGTGGGCTGAGCTGGCCACACACACACACACACACAAACACAAAATTTAAAAATAAATAAATAAATTTTAAAAATAAATAAATATCTGAAGTTAAAGGTGTGTTTATTATATTGATTTAATCATTCCACACTGTAAGTATACAATATATGGTACCATCCTTTGTATCCTATCAATATATACAATTATAATTTGTCAGTTTATGATCTAATTTATTTTTTAAAGGGGATGATAGGGCTTAGAAAATTAAGGTGTACTAGAGCTGGAGAGACTCCCTGGTCTCCATATTTCAGGGGACCAGAGCGCACCTCTTTCCTCCAAGTTCTCAGTGTGGTTCCCAGACCGGAAGATGAGCCGTTGCCTGGAAGCGTGTTCGAAATGCAAATGTCCTGTGCTCCTCCCTCCCAACCTACAGAAGAGCTAGAGGGATGAGGCCAGAACTCTGCGGTTAATTGAACAAAACTCCCACTCTGCTAAAATCAGTAAAATTAGATGAGACTGGACGATAGCTCAGTAGATTAAGCACTTGCCTGGCAAACACAATGGCCTGAGTTCAATTCCCGGTTCTGCAAAATAAATAAATAAATAAATAAATAAGAATAAAAAATAATAATAATAAAGTAAAATTAGAAAGTTCAGGTGTGCTGCTGCCCCCTAGTGGTACTTGCGTGTGTGAAGAAAAGAGCGGCTACAAGCCGGCAGGACGCCTGCCACTGTACCCGGGGAATCGCACGCAGCCCACATCTGGACAAGGGAAGAGACTGACTGCCCAAGGCCTCCCAGCGACACAGTGATACAGCTAGGCCTAGAATTCTTATGTGTGATAGATGTCACGGCTTCCTTTTCTGAACAGATGATGTTTACACGGATGCCTCTAAGGGCCATCACTCTGCTTAGAGCTGGCCTCCAGGATTTGCTATACCTTCTGACCGCTCAAGTTGGCTGGGTCTTTCTGCACTGGCCTTCCTCCCTCTTAGTCTTTCTCCCGCTGTCACACTCCCCATCACCCTGTCCCCTGGCTCGTTCCCTCCCTCACCTTCCTGGGGCTCCACTGCTGCCAGCCTTCCTCTTTCTCTCCATCCTTCTTCCTCCTGGTTTTCTGGGCCATTCCTGACATCCATGCATGTCATCCCTTACCCAGTGCAGCAGAGGAGGCAGCCTGGGAGACCATGGCCATTCTAGCTACTGTGGTAGCAGAAATGGGGTGGGGAGGAAGAGGGGAGGTTGTGTGTGTGACTCTTGAAGGGGCCACCCAGGAAGTCTCCTAGGGAGGTGCCCCACTTTTTCCGGGGAAAGGGTGGCCACATGCTTCCTGTGCTAACAACACGTGCTAACATTTCCTGCAGCTGAAATGAGGCTAGGTCTGAGATTGTTTTTGCCTGGGAACATCTTTGTTTTTTTTTTTTTTTTTCTCTCTCTCTCTCTTTTCTAGTGCAATTAATTATAGTATCAGGAAAAGTCAAAGACAGGGCCCTAGGCCTATGCATCACCTTGAGTTGGCAGGCGGACCTGCAGTAGGTGACCTTAGCACACTGGCCTGGCCCTTACCGTTCGTTGTGTGTTCACTGCCCTCCTCTTCTGCTGTTCATACTGATGTCTCACATCGCATAACTGGGCTCTGCAGTAACTTCACCTCAACCTCTGAGCCGCTCTCCTCCTGCCCGCAGCCCCCGAGACTCAAACTGGCTGGAGGCTGACTGCGACTTCTACCTCCCTGCTCCCTGCCAGGGCTGGCCCTCTGTGCCCTCCTAGCTT